CCTCTTCCTTCTCCTCCTCCTCCACGTGGTTGCTTCTCTATCCTCCCTTGTCCCTCCCTCCTCGTGAAGAGTAGAGGGCATGAGAGGTCAAGAGGATGCAAGGCTGACAGGGGGGGAGAACAGGCGGCATGGGAGGGGGGGAGGGAGAAGGAGGCACCGACAAGGACAAGGACGATGAGGAGACGAATGGGAGGGTCAAGAGCGGGGAGAAGGAGCCCTGAGAGGCCAAGAAGAGACCAGGCAGACCACATAAGTGAGGGAAAAGGGGCAGGGGAGGGGAAAATGGACTGATAGGATGAGGAGGAAGGCAAGAGCGAAGGGGAGGGCGGAGAGGGGGGAGGAGGGACGGTATGGGATGGGTGGGGGGAAGGATGGGCTGAGGAAGGGAGGAGGGGGGAGGAAGGGGGAGAGGAGGGGAAAGGGGGAGAGGGCAGAGGAGAGGGGAGAGGAAGGAGAAGGGAACGTATGGGATGGGAGGGGGGGAGGATGGGCTGAGGAAGGGAGGCGGAGAGGGAGGGGGAGAGGAGATGAGGGACAAACTAGGTGCGCTCGCGTCAGGTCTGACGTCCCGCCCCTCCCTCCCGTCCCGTACCATGGCGTTGATCTCCTCTCTATTCGCAAAGTCGGATGTCGCAGCACGGCATAGCAGTACATGGCATAGCATGGTGTTGAAGATCAACGCGTGGCATGACATAGCATGGCGCCCAAAATGGGGGGGCCCTCTGCAAGTCAGAAAATCAACGAATCGGCACCGAATGTGTTATCACTTTCGATGGTTTTTGTCGGGGAGCCATTTTTGAGATTTTGGGGCCAATATGGAAGGACCGAAAACCATGCCGCGGCACGGAACTGAAAATAATGACGCCAGCGCTGCAGCGGGAGCACGATTCGGAACGAGCGGAAGCGCGGAAATGAGGCCAGCGCTGCAGCGGGAGCACGACTCGGAACGAGCGGAAGCGCGGAAATGAGGCCAGCGCTGCAGCCAGCGGGAGCACGACTCGGAACGAGCGGAAGCGCGGAAATGAGGCCAGCGCTGCAGAACCGGATCTCACTTCCCAGAAATCCTGTGGAAAAAATATTTGCGGAGGGGGCCGGGAATCTTCTGGACGTCATCAGGGGAGAGAGGAGAGTGGTATTAATATTGTGTACTTGTAGAGGGGTAGAAGGGATGAAGAGGGAAGGAGAAGGGGAAGGAAAGGGAAGGAGGAAGGGGGAGGGTTGACGCGGAGATGCTTGCAAACTCGGAGAGAAAGTATGGTCCTTCACCGCCATCGTTGCCGAAGCTTCCAGCAGCACTATTGGCAGAGCTGCCCAATGCAAGCAAGGATGGAGATGCCGGCGTTGGGCACCAAGCCACCTGCGCTGCGGCTTGCTTGCGTCTGCTTGCGAGGAACAAAATGGAAGAAAGACTGCGGACTCCAAAGAACCCAGACCTACAATTTGCCCGAATCGGCAGCGACTGGGCCAAGCCAGGGCGTAGCGCATGAGCCTCCCAGAGGCCAAAATGCTTGAAAAAGCACGGGCTCATCAGAGTGAGGGGCCGCACGGTCATACACTGGTCTTCAGTGCGGCTGCAAATTGGCTTCCGCGGAGCTGACGATCGTTGAATTCTCACTTCTGAAACATCCGCCACTGCGCCTTCAGCACGCAGTGAAAGGCCGCAAGGCTCATGCAGCCCTGAAACGTAAAGGGTTCGCAAGGTTCTTCAGGTCCCAGACACCCGGTTTCCCAGGCGTTGCTGGGCGCTACCAGGGTGTGTCGCATGGGCGTCTGGGACAGTGGCCCAGCCCAGCAGGGCCCCAAAATGGGCGAAGGAGGTCCCAAGAAGCCCCCAGCACGGTCCAGGAGGCCTCCGAGACGGCCAAAGGGCTTTCCGAGACGCCCAAGATGGTGTCAAGACGGCCCAAAAGCCCTTGAAACGCCCCAAGAAAGCCCGCCCCAAGGGGAGCCCCGTGGAGGCTGAAATCATAACCTTCCTCAAGACGGCCCGAAGACGGCCCAGGACAGCCCCAAGACGGCCCAAGAGGCTCCCACGACGGCCCCAGAGATCCCCAAGACGGCCCCAAGAGGGGCCCACCCCAAAGAGGCCCCAAGAGGCCCTCAGGAAGCCCCCAAGACGCTCGAACAGGCCCCAAAGCGGGCCCCAAGAGGCTTCGAAACCGCCTCCGCCCCCGAGAGGCCTCCCGCGACACCCCAACGAACATCCTAGAGGCCGATGACTATGACCCACAACCCAGGCATGATTGCGGGATGGACCGAAGGCCATTAAATAGTTGATCCCCCCACAAGTGCCACCCTCGGCTCTCACATCATGTTTGTTGTCTGGGAAATATTGATGCTCAAACTGTGTTCTTGGGCTCCTAGACTGGAACCAGAACGGATCCCGCCTAAGACGTCCTCACAACGTATTATGGGATCGCGCTCTCGCTCGAGCGATCTACTCAAGAATCTGACTCTGGTTTTTGAGACCTACTCAGAATACAGATTCGCCCTCCCGCCGCTCAGGAACCGCGCTCCCGCTCAGGACTTCCCCAAAACTTGTTCAGGAATCGCGCCTCACCAGTCAGGAGTTGCACCTCCGCCCAAAACCTCCTGCTATGCCACCTACGCCTTGCGCTCCCACCCAGGGACTTCCACGCGGCTTCTCCCCGGACTCACGCGCCCATGTGTCCCGCCCTCACGGCTCCACCCGGGAAGGCCCGCCCGCACGGCCCGGCCCGTCAAAGGGCCCGCTCGCCCGCGACGTCCTGCCCGCCCAACCCGCCCGCCCGGGCCCGCCCGCCCGGCCTGGCCGTTAGGTCCGCCCCCTCGTTTAGTTGCAAACACCCCCCCCGCTCGTCCTTGGCGACGCGCACAGGTGGGTAGGGGGAGGGGGGAAGGCTTCTTAGAAGGAAGCTGCTTCAAGGTACGGACCCTGCCATCTACAGAGAAGGCCCGCGCCGTCTGAGAAGCAGGGGTGCTTCTAAGAAGCCTTCTCCCCTCCCCCTATCCCCCCTCTGCGAGCGGCTGACTTTGGAATGTCCCGCCCGCCCGACCCGCCCGTCAAGGTTCGCCCGCTCAGCCTGGCCCGCAGGGTCCGCCCGTCCGTTTGCTTGCAACCCCGCCCGCTCGCTTTAGTTTCCCGCCGCCCGCACGGCCCGCCCGGCAGGGTCCGCCCACCCGACAAGCCTTTTTGGGTCTGTCCGCCCGACCCGCCCGGTCGGGTCCGACCACCCGATCGGCCTACCTTGCCATGTGGGTGTTTACCCAGCAGCTGGCAGAACAGAAGTGACTCCCACATAGAGTACGCCCATGGACGAAAAGGACGGGTGTCGAAGGTTTGAGGCGCAAATGTTGGATAACACTCCCGCGCGAGCAAGAAAGAGCGAGCTGTCTCAAAATGCTGGTATTGATATTGTCCTTGTCGTCGTCGCCACACGACCCACCTCACGACACACCCCGCGCGACCCAAGCCCGCGACTGACCCCGCGACCGACCCACGGCCCACTCCGCCGCCGACCCGCGACCCAACCCCGCGACTGACCCCGCGACCGACCAGGCGACCCACCCGAGACACACCCCGCGATTCACCCGCGAGCCATCGGCCCTGTCTAGAATCAAAAGATGGCCAAGAAAGACCGGAAGGGACCCTCCGAGGCACAGTGGCGGGAGTGGCCGCAGGCCACTGGATTACTACGCTACCAGCGACCAGGACAAGGGACAAGGTACCTGGGGCAAGCGGCCAGAGACCGAGGCGTCTTAATAAGGCAATCAGAACAGACTGGAGACGTACAAAGCAGACCTTCGCGTCGTAACGCCAGACAAATACTGCTGCACTGCTGCACCCCTTAAATTACCCTTAAGACAAGCGTGATGTGATCCGTCGGCATGCCTTCAGCACCGAGCCTCTTAGAATGCCGCTTAGTTGTCCGATAGGGAGTTTGTTCTAAGCCCGGCCCTCCCCTCTCGACGTGCGCTTGGTCATAAAATCTCCTCCCCCCCCCGATTGCTCTCCGCTACCGTCGCTGGCATCGACACCGCTCCAAAAACAGCCACAGCCCCAAGACTGCTGCAAGATGCCAGATTGCTCAGCCAAGACACCTTCTCTTCCAGCTCCTCCTCCTCCTCTTCCTCCTCCATTTGCTTATTCATCTGTTCCCCCTCATCATAGATCCGCCACCGTTCCCCCTGGCACGTTGAGGCGTGGAAGAATGCAACGGGCTGTCCGGCAGGCTTTTCTGCAATAGAATGAGGGTCCGCCCAGGACCACCCCCCCTCTACCAGCAGACTCCTGCATGCATCCCCACTTCTCACCGGGGCCACTTCCCTCGTGCCCGCTCGAGGATGGTGCACTTCCAGCACGGCAGCTCATGCCTAACCCCGCCTTCGACGCGTGCCCGCTCGAAGATGGAGCACTTCCAGCACGGCAGCTACTGCCTACCCCCCCCTTCCACGCGAGCCCGCTCAAGGATAGTGCACTTCCCGCATGGCAGCTAATGCAGGAACCCCCCTTCCACTCGTGCCCGCTCGAGGATGGAGCACTTCCTGCATGGCAGCTAGATGCCTGAACCCTCATTCCATGCGCGCCCCTCGAAGATTGCGCACTTACCACATGGTTTCTGCCTTCTAGACCCCTCATCCTACGCGCAACCGCTTGAGGATCGTTCACTTCCCACATTCCCAGGCGCTGCTCCCGAGCACTTTAGGGCCTCCCAAGCCACTATCACTTGTTTAAAAGCACGAAGATGCGTCCCGAACTTCCAAGAAGGCACGTGCAGGCAACCAACGACACCAAGATGGCCCAAGGTGCCTCGAAGACGGCCAATATGGCCCCAAAGCGGCCGAATATGCTTCAAGACGGCCCAAGATGCCTCCGAGAGGGCTCATAAGGGCAGCAAGACGACCTTAAACAGGGTCCGAAGAAGCCAAGATCGATGATCCCCGGATGTGTTTGAATAATTTTGGCGGTCTCGCCTTTTCGAGCTGCCGTCAGCTCAAGACGGCCCAAGAGGACTCCAGGATGGCCTGAGAGGCATCCAAGACGGCCCCAAGACGGCCCCAAGACGGCCCTAGAAGGCCTTCCGTGGAACCCAAGACGGCCCCACAACGGCCCCAAGACACACACCTGACGGCCCAGAGGACCCCAAGACGGCCAAAGAGAAACCAAAGGCTGCGTAAAAGCCCCCAAGACGGCCCAAGGGTGCCAAGAGGGACCCGCAAGACTGCCTCACAAGAGGCCAGAACAGCCCCAAGACGGCCCAAGCGAGTTCCATCATCATCATCATCATCATCATCATCATCATCATCATCATCATCAGCAGCAGCAGCATCAGCATCAGCATCAGCATCAGCATCAGCATCAGCATCATCATCATCATCATCATCATCATCATCATCATCATCATCATCATCATCATCATCATCATCATCATCATCAACATCAACATCATCACATCATCATCATCATCATCCATCATCATCTCCTCATCATCATCATCATCATCATCATCAGCATCAGCATCATCATCCATCATCATCATCATCATCATCATCATCCATCATCATCATCATCATCATCAGCAGCATCATCATCATCATCATATCATCAGCATCAGCATCAGCATCATCAGCATCGCATCAGCATCATCAGTCGTCATCGTCATCATCATCATCATCTGCAGCAGCAGCAGCATCATCGTCATGATCATCATGATCATCAGCAGCAGCATCATCATCATCTTCATCAGCATCATCATCAGCATCATCATCCGCATCAGCATCATAATCAGCATCATCATCATCAGAATCGTCATCATCCGCAGCAGCATCATCAGCATCATCATAAGCATCATCAGCAGCAGCAACAGCATCCACATCCGCATCCAAATCAGCATCATCATCATCCACATCAGCACAGGATCAGCATCAGCATCAGCAGCAGCAGCATCATCATTATCTTCTTCATCATCACAATCATCATCATCATCAGCATCATCATCATCATCATCATCATCAGTATAATCTTCATCATTATCTTCATCTTCATCCCCATCGGCATCTAGTCATAAGCATCAGCATTCGCATCATCATCCACTACCACCAGCAGCATCACAATCATCGTCATCCTCATCAGAATCATCATCATCAACATCGTCAGCGTCAGCGTCAGCCTCATCATCATCATCAGCAGCATCAGCATCAGCATCAGCATCATCCACATCAGCATCATCATCATCACCATAGCATCAACATCATAATAACCATCATCATCATCATCATCATCATCATCATCATCATCATCATCATCATCATCATAGTCGCCGTCGTCCTTGTCGTCGTCCTTGTCATCGTCGTCGTCGTCGACGTCGTTCATAGTCGTCCTCCCCCATCCCCCTCCTCCGCTTCCTCGTCATCATGGTCATCGTCAGCAGCACAATCGTCATCCTCATCCTCATCATCATCATCATCATCATCATGAGCATCATCATCAGCATCATGATCGTCCTCATGATCATCATCGTCATCATCGCCAGCATCAGACACGTCGTCGTTATCATCATCATCGTCGTCGCCATCATCATGATCATCATCATCATCATCATCATCATCATCATCATCATCATCAGCGGCATCACCCTCATCACCAGCACCATCATCATACCATCAGCATCATCATCACCAACATTATCATTATCATACTAATCACCAGCAGCATCATTATCATCATCAGCAGCAGAATCATCATCAGCAGCAGCATCATCATCACTATCCACGTCATTATCATAATCAGAATCGTCAAATCACCATCATCCTCATCATCATCATCATCACCACCACCCTCATCCATCACCATTACGCAGCAGCAGCTTTACCACCACCATCAAATTCATAGCCATCGTCAGCATCATCGTCAGCGTCATCATCAATATCATCATCATCATCATCATCATCATCATCATCATCATCATCGTCATCATCATCGGCATCATCATCAGCATCATCATCATGGTCACCATCATCATCATCATCATCATCGTCGTTACCATCACCATCACAACCATCGTTTACCATCACCGTCATTGTTCCCATCATTCTCATAATCCGCATCATCCTCATCCGGGCTCCCCCTAACCTGGAGAAACGAGGTTTCACACGTGACGGCCTCACGTGCCCCCTCGAACAGTCACCACCCAGAATGCTAGGCTGGCACGGTGGCGCGACTTGCCGCAGGCAGCTGGATATTCTATCCCTCATCCCGCTTCCTCCTCCCTCTTCCTTCTGTCTTCATCCTCTTCCTCCTCCTCCTCGAACTCCTCCTCCTCGTTCTCGTCGTCATCATCATCATCATCATGATTACCACCATCAGCATCATCAGCAGCAGCATCAGCATCAGCATCAGCATTATCATCATCATCATCATCATCATCATCATCAGCATCATCATCATCATCATCATCATCAGCATCATCATCATCATCATCATCATCATCATCATCATCATCGACATCGTCATCCTCATCAGCATCATCATCAGCATCATCAGCATCATCAGCATCATCAGCATCAGCATCAGCAGCATCATCATCAGTATCAGCATCAGCATCAGCACATGTTGATGATGATGCTAGTTTGACAGCATCATCATCGTCATCGGCGTCATCATCTTCATCAGCAGCATCATCATCAACGTCATGATCATCATCAACCTCATCATCATCACTCTCATGCTCATCCTCATCCTCATCCTGATCATCATCATCATCATCATCATCATCATCATCATCATCATCATCAACATCCTCATCAGCATCATCATCATTATCATCATCACCACCATCATCAGCAGCATTATCAGCATCAACGTCATCGTCATCGTCGCATGTATCGTCATTGGCCTTGTCGTCATCCTTGACGTCGTCGTCCTTGTTTTCGTCGTTCATAATTGTCGTCATCCTCCTTTTCCTACTCATCCGCCTGGACATCATCATTAGCATCAGCATCATCATCATCAATATCATCAGCATCCTCCTCATCATCCTCATCATCAGCAGCATCATCATCGTCATCATCAGTATCATCAGCATCACCATCATCATCATCAGCATCATCGTCATAGTCGTATGTATCGTCATTGTCCTTGTCGTCATCCTTGTCGCCCTCGTCCTTGTTTTCGTCGTCATCATCATCAATATCATAAGCATCATCAGATTCATCGTCCTGTTCCTGATCATCATCGTCATTATCACCATCAGCATCATCACTATCAGTATCGTCAGCATCATCACCATCATAACCATCATCAGCGTCATTATTATTCCAGTCGTCTTCGTCGTGGTCGTTGTTGTTGTCGTTGAACATCGTCGTCATCATCGTCATCCTCCTCCTGCTCCGAATCCTCATCCTCATCGTCGCCGTTAGCATCGTCATCACAGTCATCGTCATCACAAGTATCATCACCAGTAATACGATCATCCTCCTCCTGCTCTTCGTCATCGTCGCCATCTTCATTGCCCTGTTACTCGTCATCCTCATCGTAACCCTCATCCCTCATCCCCCTCCGAGGGAGAGGGAGTGCAGGAGCAGGGCGAGGACAAGGATTGGGGAGAGGAGTGTGAAGAGGAGTACGAGGAGTATAGAAGAGGAGCATGAGGAGTGTGAGCAGGAAGAGGAGGGGCGTTTGACAAGGGCCAGCACAAGGACAACATTGGGCCAGGACAAATCGGAGATGTCTGAGATCGGACGGTTCCCGAGGATCTGTCGGGCGCCGCGGCGGTTCCATCGCGCTTCGGGACGCTCTGAGAGCGTTCTGGGACGCTCTGGAGCGATCTGTCCTGGTCCTGGGCCCGCCCGAGAGTGTGGGGAGGACGAGGACGTCAGCCACCTTGGCAGTCCGCGGGCACTGCTTCAGCGGCTGCGCCATCGCCACTGTCGCCGCGGGGATGGCGCCCCTGACTCCTTGGCCGGCCGGGCGCCGAGGGTAGCCCCTGGCACAGGCGGCCCAGGAGATGAGGGAGGCCCGAAGCACAGTGATCGTATCATCCCACCCCCCTTGGGGGAGGGGGGAAGAAGAAGAATAAGAAGAAACAAAAGAAGCAGGAGAAGAAGAAGAAGAAGCATAATGAAACAAACAAAAGAAGAAGAATAGCAATGCAGGGGCAACAGAAGAAGAATAATAAACCCACCGCTGCGGACAAGCGTCGCCCCTGGGGTAGGAAGGGTGAAGTGGCAGGAGTTAGAGTGGGGAAGAGACGGTCGAATATCCACTTAGCCCTTGCAGTGAAGCCCTGAGCTCCTCCTCATCATCATCATCATCATCCTTCAGAGCTCTCTCCCTCCTCATCATCATCTTAGTTCTGCTCCTCCCCCTCCACAACATTCACCTCCCCTGTCCCCATCCCTCCTACCGATATCCTCCAGTTCCTCGCTTACAGTTCCTCACTCCCTCCCTTCCAGCAAACTCCCTCCTTGCATGCTTCACTGCTGGTCCGACGGCCACATCTGGGAAGGGGGCGGCAAGCCACGAACGCGCCTGCAGGGCCCTTCAATGTCCTCGTTATTGTCTTCCTCGTCCTCTCCTTTACCCTCCTCCTCCTCCACCTCCTCCTGTCACGCGCCGTCTCCTCAGCGACCGGCGCGGCCGCGGAGACGGAACGAGTGCTGCCCTTGTGGCAAGCTGAGTTGGCCCGTAGAAAATCCGCCAGCCTCCTAATTGGGATGGCAAAACACGGGAGGAGGAGAAAAATCAGGAAGAGAAGGGAGGCGATATCAGAACGACATCCATGCCATCAGCCCGCAGGAGGAGGAGGAGGAGGAGGAGGAGGAGGAGAGGAAATACCTCCCCTTCCTCCTCCGCATCCTCTTCAACATCCTCCATCCCTCCCACCCTCCCTCCCTCCCTCCCTCCCTCCCTCCCTCCCTCCCTCCCCTCCTCGTGGCCAGGGCGGTGACTCGCGCGCGGAGCGCCCTCCTAAGATAAAGAGCTCAGCGGCACACTGCAAAACTTGGGCCAACGTCGCTGAGCGAGAACACTGAGTCGCGCTCGCGCGCAGAGGAGGGCGAGGAGGGGAAGGGAGGAGGGCGGAGTAACGTCAGTCGGACGCAGGCTGATATCGCTCGGTCGTGGTCTGCATCGGTGCTGGGAAATCTCTGAATTCCTGCCACTTCGCCCAATTGCTGCCAGTGCCCGCAAGCACGAGCTCACCGTGACAGCGGCCCCGAGGGGGGCGCTGGCTCAGGAGGCGCCGGCCCCCCCCCCCTAAAAGAACCCCCAGAAGCCTGGCAAGACACCCGTCTTGGGTGGTCTGGGCGGGGTCCCCATCCCCTGTGCTATAACACTACAGTGTCTGGTCAAGAGGCAAGACCAAATCCCACCCACGCAGAAATAGGGTGCCCGTAGATCCTGGACGGAGTCATCCTTGGGGTCATGATGTTGCCATCTGGTATTGCGTCGGCCACGTTGGGCCTGCCTCGGGCCCATCGAATGGCCGTTGAAACATCCGGGCGTCACCCGCTGATCGGGATTACCCTGCGGCATGCTGGAAGCCACGTCGAGATCGTACACGGATCAATAGGCCCTCGTGGGGCCGTCCTGAGGGCGCGGTGGGCTCGCGTCGCGTCGACGCCGCAGCGACCCCGCCGCGGGCGTTCAAAATTGCACGCCGCCAAAACATCGGCCAATACGGAACGATCTGGCGATCGGAAAGCTGCGGATCGTTCAAGGTTGAACGAACCACGCGGTGTCGGAAACCAACGACAGGGTCGTCACCGCACAAATATGCTGCATTATGGGGTCGCTTGGCGGGTTGAGGCTATCTTGGAAACACACGGGGGTCGCGGAGCCGTCTTGGTATCAGTTAGGGTCCTCCTCTTCATGTTTTGCGCGTTCCCAAAACAACTTCTGCTACGGCCCAGTATCGTCGCTCCGGTTGCATGCAACAGCTGTGAGCAGCGAGCGCGCATGCTCAAGGCCCGATCGAGAGATCGCACTGGCGCTCATCCGGCCGCAGAATGACGGAAAGAGAGAGAGAGAGAGGACAACGGAGGAGGAAGCAGGAGAAGACGGGGGGGAGAGGAGGAGGGAACCTCGACGACGACGACGACGACGACGACGACGACGACGACGACGACGACGACGACGACGACGACGACGACGACGACGGACGACGACAGCGGGCGGCGAGAATGGCGGCCAACTCTCTGAGCAGAGCCCCGACTCCACAGGTGGACTTCGGAGCCCCGTGGCATATCCACCGAGCGAGGCCCCTGGGAGCACCGCGCGGGAGACCGTGCCCGACCGACGAGCTGAGCGAGCGAGGGGCCCGTCCCCGGACCCAGGACTGGCCATCGCGGGGCAGTCCTGCCGAGGGTAGCACGTGCGTGAAGGGGGAGCAGGAGGAGGAGGAGGAGGAAGAGGAGGAGGAGGAGGAGGAGGAGGACGAGGATGACGAGAAGGGAAGGGAAGAGCGGGAGGAGGAGAACCAGTGCAAACATTCAAGACGTACCGACGAGGCTACAATAAACCCACCCTCTCCCTCCAAGTTCCTTCCTCACAGGTCCCTACACCAATGTATGTTCATTGCGGGGAGTTCCCCGTTGGAAGAGAACTGCATGAGAATCCTCAATCGTGAAAGAACACAATTCCTGGCACTTCAGCGCCGCGAATGAACGTGACCGCTACGTTCTGACAATACCGCGAATTAACAGGATCAACTGCACGAATCCCTGAAACCAGTCAACTTACAAGACGGCTACACACAGCGGCGCTACAGCGAGAGCCACATGTTTGAAATGAACTGCGCTCAATCATTGAAACTGCAACGATGATTTAACACGAATGCGCGCGGCGCTAAGGCGATAATCAAAATTTGAAAACGGCCCACCGTCCATCCGCGAAATGGCTGCAACCAACTTGTAAGACGAATGTGCTCGGCGCTACGGCGAGAGCCACAATTTGAAAACCGCCCGCCATCCACCTGTGAAACTGTTGCACGTCGGTTCAAGCTTCAGGATCATGAATGGTGGGCAATCTCGAACGAAACGCCCAGCCCGCCCTACCGACACGTCTGGGGGTGCGACAGGGGGAATGATTCGCAAGGAAGGAGGATGGACGATGTCGAGGAAAAGCAAGAAGAAGCAGGACGACAACGACGACGACGACCACGACGACGACGACGACGAGGGCGACATGAGGAGAGCGAGGAAGGGAGGGAGAGATCACGAGGCCGAGGAGGCCGAGGAGGATGCGACGACGACGACGACGACGACGACGACGACGACGATGCTGCGGACGGGGGGGAATCAAGATAAACCAATGGGCGTGCCATTGAGGATAGAATGTGTAAAAAAATACCGTGCACAAGCGCTGCACATTCCCCAAGCAATGCTTGCACATAGGCGTTCTTACTTCTCGTCTAAAAGGAACTGGGCCTGTTTGTTGGTCTGGCGGCTACGTTGTCGCCGTCGCCGTCCCATCGCCGCCTCGTCGCCGCCCGTCGTCTGGGCCTGATTGTTGGTCTGGCAGCTACGTTGTCGCCGTCGCTGCCCCTTCGCCGCCTCGTGGCCGCCCGTCGTCTGGGCCTGATTGTTTGTCTGGCGGCTGTGTGATCGCCGTCGTCGCCAAGCCGCCGTCTTAATTGCAGAGATTGCACAGCACAGGTTGCACAAATAGACCGCACTACAAACATTCCACAACAGACGTCGCACACCTAACATGCACAACATAAACTGCACAACACGCATCGCACCACCCAGGTTGCAAAAACATAAGACTCACAAAATAGATTGCACAACGAGTACCGCACCACAAATATAGCACACTCCGACCGTAAGTATCGACCCACCCCGTTTCATCCCTGCAAAACCAAAGTATGCGAGCGCACTCGGTTATAAAAGAACACCAGGTTTCGGACATGTGTTGCAAACCTTGAGCAACGCCCACACGCGCGAGGCGTCGCGCGCGCATGCCGAAATCATTCAAAACATGGGCGTGTAAAGATTTCAAGATCGAGGTTCCCGAAAACATATGGAACAAAAACACACGCAGTTTGCGCCATGCTGCTTCCAAAACTTCGGCACGCGAGCGATTGCGAACGTTGGCGAAAACCGTTGTTGCGTCTTGCAATATGGTCATTCGGGAGACCAGGCGGAAACCATGCGGGCCTCTCGCGCGCGCGCATGTTGAAACCGAACGCTCTTGCGCGCTTGCTAGGGGGGGCCACGACCCCTGTCAAAGATCCCATGCGGGCCAATCGCGCGCGCCAGCCGCGCGCGCATGCCGAACTCTTCTCAAAACCCGTCATCACCGACACGTGGACACCATTATCGCCACCGACGTGACCAGCATCGGCGACCGTCATGGGCCGCGCCGTCGCCGTGGTCACCATGGTCACCATCATCGCCACGATCATCATCGCGTCCGCCTGTCGAAATCACCAGGACAACCCGCCAGGCCGAGTCACTGACTACCCGCACTGAAGTACCCGCGCGCCAGTGCGGCCTGCGGAACGCGCTAGGACATACCCGCGGTCAGCGACACCGTGGCCGCGGCAGTGGTGCCAACCTACCTGGCCGCCGCATTGGTTTCGCAAACAAAGTAGCGAGTGGGTGGGTGGGATGATTGCGCGAGCAGTGGAGTTGGCAACTTCAAGTTCTGCAAACTGAATTGCACCTCGTCGATTCTCCTGTCTACGAAAAGAATAGACTCTCCCCCCCCCCCCGCGTTATCCCCCCCTTTTCGGGTATGTAAATCAAATACGATTCTGACCACATGTCCGTCCTAAATATAAATTTACAAAATCCCAGGGGGGCCGGTATCGCTACCCCTGAGGTTCCCTTGCAAAATAAAACAAAACGCGGGAACATGTTCTGTTCTAACATAAAACTTGTTCGCGAATCCATTGCAAAAAGGGGACGAAGTGCACACGCGCGCGTCGTCGCGCGCGCATGCCGGAATCCTTCAAAAACATTCGGTATCGGAAGGATTTCGCAATCGAGCTTCCAAGAAAATACAAAAACACAGGATTTCGCAACACAGATTTGCTAAAAAAGTTTACGCGCGAGCACTTGCGAAATCTTAAGAAAACCATCGGTTTTTTCAAGATTGTCATAAAATGCTTCAGACGCGCGCGTCGTCGCGCGCGTAAGCCGAAATCCTTCAAAACCCATCGGCTTCGGAAGGATTAAAATCGTGTGCCCAAAAAACCTACCAAAAAACACCAAGTTTCGCAACACAGATTTGCTAAAAAAGCTTACTCGCGAGCTCTTGCGAAATCTTTAGAAAACCATAGGTTTTTCAAGATTGTCATAAAATGCCTCCAAACGGGCTTCGCGCGCGCGCATGTCGAAATCTGTCGAACGCCTTTGCGCGCATGCCGTCGCGAGAATCCTCTGCCAAAAAACGGGACGAAGTGCAGATGCGCGCGTCGTCGCGCGCGTACGCCGAAATTCTTCAAAACCCATAGGTTTCGGAATGATTTCAAAATCGTGTCTCCAAAAAACTTCAAAAACACAAGGTTTCGCAACACGGATTTTCAAAAAAAGCGTGCGCGCGCGCGCTCTTGCGTCGTCGTCGTCGCCGTCTTCCCTCTTGTCTCGTCGTCGTCGTCGTCGCCGTCGTCGTCCTCTGTCTTTCCTCGTCGTCGTCGTCCTCTTTGGCGTCGTCGTCGTTTCCGTCGTCGTTGTCGCCGTGGTCGTCCTTCCTCCTCCTCCCTCGTCGTCGTCGTCGTCCGTCGTCGGCGTCTCGTCGTCGTCCCTCCTATTTCGTCGCCGCCGTCGTCGTCGTCGTCGTCGTCTTCCCTCCTTCCTCGTCGTTGTCGTCGTCGGCGTCGTCGTCCTCCCTCCTTCTTCGTCGTTCGCGTCGTCGCCGTCCTCCCTCCTCCCTCGTCGTTGTGATCGTTGTCGCCGTCGTCGTCCTCCCTCCTCACTCGTCGTCGTCGTCTTCGTTAGTGACGTCGTCGTCGTCTTCGTCGTCGTCGTCGGCGTCGTCATCGTCGTCGCCGCCGGCGTCGTCGTCGTCCGCGCCGT